ATGAAAGCTCCTTGCGTTGAGCTCTTGTACCACCTATTCCAGCGTCTGTGATGAGCCGCCCCTTTTCAGCACCACCGCACCTACCATAACGTAGCTGAATCGGGGAAGGGGGGGGGGGAAAAATTGTCTCCAATGGAAGAAAATTGCCCCGCTGACAGCCCCCAGATTCAGTGTCCCTTACATCTTTTTTCCCAGGAGGCAAGGAAAAATGCCTCAGGGGAGCGCAGCATGGGCGGCCGATGAGCCGCGGCTGGGCAGGAGCGGCCGGCACGGCACCAAGCGGGCTCCCCACTCCTCGCTGCGCTCGCCGCTGTAGGGACCCCGGTTTCGCTTGAAACGGACACGTGTGGCAGGGAGGGCAGCGGGGGAATGCCAGGCGCCCCTCCTCGCCCTGGGAACGCTGGCCTCAGCTCACCGCTCTCACCACCGGCACGGGCAGCGCCCGCAGCCCCTCGCTGCCCCTCCCCGCACGCCTGGCCAGCCCCGCCGCGGGGTCACACGGCACCCGCCAGGCCGTGGGCGCGGACAGCCGTCGAGCGACGGGAGGCAGCAGCGAACATCGCTGCCGGACCCGCCGCCCCTCCCGAGGTCTCCTGTCTTCGCGCTACCACGACCGCGCAGCCCCGCCCCGCCTTCCCCATCGCCTGCCGCGCAACGCATGTGCCCCGCGCCCGCGGCACGCGTGCGGCCTCGCCCGGCCTCGCCGGGGGCGGAGCCGGGACACAGACCCGCCAGCAGAGCCGCGGGGGCGGCGGGCTCCCGGCGAGGCCGAGCGGGCGGACAGCGGGGCCTCCTACGAGCGCACCGGGCGGGGGTGAGCGGGCGGCGAGATGGAGAGATGGAGCCCGCAGCACCGTGCGACGTAAAATGGCTGATCGCCCCTCAGCCGCAAGCACCGCACCCCCTCGGCTGCTGTCGGGAGGGGGCAGCGGCCCGGCTCGCGCCGGTAACAGGGTGGCTCCGCATCCCGCGGGCAGCCCCGGGGCGGCGGGGGAGCGCTGCGGGCGGCACCGGGGCCGCGCAGCCTTATGTAACGTGCGGGGAGAGCCGCCGGGAACCATTTTACACCTCCCGGAGGGCTGGGGTGGGGGGCACGGAGAGCCCGCGCCCCGTTCCCACGGGGCCGGGCGCTCCCGCACCCGCCCGGCGGCGGTGCAGCTCCCCCCCGGCACCGCACGCCCCCGGCACCGCAGCGCCGCACACACACACACACCCCCCGCACACTGCCTGCATCCCGCATACACACCCACACACCCACCCTCGCCGCCCGCAGCCGCCCCGCCCCCGCCGCCACGGCAGGCTGGCGGTGCCCGCTACTCACAGGCGTTGGTTACGGCGAAGCTGTTGGCCACCTCCAGGTTGTCGATGTGGGGAGTCAGCCTGAACTCCGAGGTGGAAAACTGAACCATCCCTACCCGAAACGCGCTGTACTCCTGATCGGCGCCCCTCGGGAACAGCCCCCCTGCAGGGAAACACACACGCGTCAGGCGGGCGGGGGCCCCGGCGGAGCGGCGCGGGTGCCCCGTCTGTGCCCGGCGCGGGGCTGGGCTGGGCTAGGCGCCGGTGGGCGCCGCTGCCGGAGCGGCCCCGGTGGCGGGTCCGACCCGCGCCTAGGGGCGCGGGGGCCGGGCGGTGAGGCCGGGGGAAGGCGAGGGGACCTCGCTGGCGCCTGGCGGGCACCGCGGTGGGACTGGGTACGCGGCGACATGACAGGAACGCCCGAGTGACACTGGTGGGGATGAGGGATCGGGAGATCCGCTGGCAGGAGGGGTCCCCCCCCGCATGCGGGCACCTACCGATCTGTATGCTGTTAGAATTGACCCCCCAGATCAGTCCCCACAACACAGGAGCCAGGAAGACAGAAATATGCATAATCTTTTGCATTTCCAGGAAAAGTAGAGCATCCACAAAGCCACGGAAACAGCCTTTTCTTCTTCCTCCTGCTTCTCCTCCGCGAAGCGCGCTCGTCAGCAAATTAGATCCCGTGCGCTCCGGGCGAGCGGCCGGAGGGAGCAAGCCAGCCGCGGGAGGGGAAGGAACGAAAAGAGCCCCGGGGCAGACGCAGGAGAAGGCGCTTGTACGAGCTGCCGCCGCCGCCGCTCCGGTGCTGCTGCTGGCTCCGGCGCTAAGCGGGATGGAGGGGATGGAGGGGATGGAGGGGATGGAGGGGATGGAGGTGCCGGCAGTGCCCGCTGCGCTCCCGCCGCCCGGCCCGGCCCGGCGCTGCCCTGGCACGCGCTCGCCCGCGCTCCCTCGCACTCAACGGGCGGGCGGCGCACCGGGCGAGGCGGCGGCGGCGGCAGCTCGTACAAGCGCCTTCTCCTGCGTCTGCCCCGGGGCTCTTTTCGTTCCTTCCCCTCCCG